AAAAAAAAAAACACACACACACACACACTGACACACAAAAGATATTTCATGTGAGAGTTATGTTTGTTTTCAAATGTATGTACGAGATAGAAATCATTTTTACTCATGATATGTTCGAATATTTTGAAATTGAATTTTTTAATTAGTAAAACATTTCAAATTTTGCTTCTTATCTACAACCAGATTATATATATTTTGTGGAATTTGAAGTTTTCAACATATTTATAATTTAGGGGCTTCAGCAAGCTTGAACTATGAGATATCAACAGGTCATTGTTGAGACGAGACCACAAGTCTTTGGTCTTGGCGATTCGTGATTTGTTCTAGCGGGAGTGGCGGGTTCAGCTTGTGCATGTGTATCGCGAAACAAATTATGCAGCAGATTATCTGGCTAGCTCGGCGGCTACTTGGACGATTGGCCTCCATGGATTATCCTCCCCTCCTACCGAGTTGGGCGAGTGACTACATCATGATCTAATCGGGTTTCCTATCCCCGCCGAACTTTGAACTTGGCGTAATCTAGGCCTTTGGCTTCTTTTTTTTTTATCCAAAAAAAACATATTTATAATTAAATAAAATAAATATCACGTACAAATATCATGGTTTGAGATCAAATATTTAAATGTGAGCCAATTAGCACTAGATTAAGTTGAGCCAATGGGCCAACGGCTCATTCATTTATAATATATTTCTACTAGGTAACTGTGTCGGCTATGGGCCTGCTCTGACACGTCATCCGAACCGGGCTGACGTGGCCCTGTAGCTTTCAAGTGAAGCCGACGAAAAAAAAAATAAAAATACACAGCATTATTCCGCCTATATAAATCCCCTCACACAAAACCAATCACACCATCTCTCCAAGAACACACAGTTCTCACTTCTTCTCACTCTCTTCAGCTACTCTCTCAACAATCTCAAAATTTATAAATTAGGAAACAATAATAAGCAGTAAACAACTTAAAGTTTCGGCCTTTTGCCCTTCTACTGATCCAAACTGCTGCTAAAATGTCGAAGGGAAACCTGACTCTGCTGATCCTCGCGGCGTTTGCGGTGGTGGGCTGCGTGGGCTCGTCCAGATTTGATGACCTTTTTCAGCCCGGCTGGGCCACGGACCACCTTACGCACGAAGGAGAGGTTTTAAGGATGAAGCTCGACAATTACTCTGGTAAAAAAAAATGGCCATACTATCATCCTCCTTGTTTTATCTTGTTCTTCCTTGTTATTGTCTTACTAATCCGTGCCTGGTCACTGTTTCTTTGTCATTTTTCTTCATGGGTTAGAGTTGTTAAGTTGCGGGGATTAATGGGTTCCATTAAAAATCTAATCTTTTTCTGTTTCGTTTTTTATTTTTGTCTTGCTGAGTACATCGTATGTGTTGTTTATGGTCTGAATCTTGAATTGCAGGTGCTGGGTTTTCGTCGAAGAGCAAGTATATGTTTGGGAAAGTCAGTGTTCAGATCAAGCTAGTGGAAGGTGACTCTGCTGGCACTGTCACGGCCTTCTATGTAAGCTTTTTGCTTTGCCTTTCTTCCTTTGTTCTTTCTCATGAAAACAAATTCTTACCACCTTGGGTTTTCAGAATTTAAGCACCTTGAGCAACAGATCTTATTATCAATTCATATAGCTACTGTAATAATCATTAATCAATACTAGTTCTTATATATCTAGTTTTAGTTGCTAATTAAAGAAAAGGATAAAGAAATTGACTTTTCTTATCTTCTGAGGTACATTTAATGCATTTCACTTAAATAACCACAGGGTTCATAAAAAAAATCTGATCTTGATAAGGTTGTTTCAGTACATTAGTACATCAGTACACACTCTCACAGCTGGCATCATCATTTCAATCTTGTGAATGCTCTTATTACTATCTTTGTAAGTTGTTTCAGTACATTAGTTTCATGCTTTGTTGTTTTTGTGTCTTGATCATGTTCGAACCAGATGTCGTCCGACGGCCCGTACCACAACGAGTTCGATTTCGAGTTCCTGGGGAACACCACAGGGGAACCTTACCTCGTCCAGACCAATGTGTATGTCAATGGAGTTGGCAACAGGGAACAGAGACTCAAGCTCTGGTTCGATCCCACCAAGGATTTCCACTCCTATTCCCTTTTATGGAACCAGCGTCAAGTAGTGTAAGCCCCCACTCCTATAAAACTGCAAACTTGTATGGTAAATACAATTCTCAAACCACTATATTCTCAAACCACTATATCCATGATTTGATATGTTTACAATTGCAATACAATTATTTTTACAGTATCACCATCATTAATTTAACAATAAACTATATTTCTCGACGAATTTCGCAGGTTCTTGGTTGATGAGACGCCCGTCCGAGTCCACTCGAACTTGGAGCACAAAGGCATACCATATCCTAAGGACCAAGCCATGGGCATCTACAGCTCGATTTGGAATGCCGACGATTGGGCCACACAGGGTGGGCTGATCAAGACCAATTGGGCCCATGCCCCTTTCGTGGCCTCGTACAAGGGCTTTGAGATCGACGGCTGTGAGTGTCCTGACTCGGTTGCTGCTGCTGACAATGCCAAACGGTGCAGTGGCGGTGGGACTCGCCGGTTCTGGTGGGACGAGCCGGCCATGTCGGAGCTGAGCCTGCACCAGAGCCACCAGCTGATGTGGGTTCGGGCGAACCATATGATCTACGACTATTGCTCGGACAAGGCAAGGTTCCCGACCGCGCCGCTCGAGTGTGAGCACCATCGTCACTAGGGGATTTTCGACATGAGCTTCATTTTGTAAAAAAAGAAAAAAAAAATGGGTGGGTTTTGTATGACATGAGCTCCATGTTTTCATGTTATGCTTTTGTTTTCTTCATCATCTTTGATTTTCTGCCATGTATTTCAGTACTTATTATTCCATCTGCATGCTCCATCACTTGTGATATATACCATTCTATTAGATTTTATATCTTTTGTGAATTATGTTCAATTTTTTGATTGTTTGGTACAATTATTGTGGGTTTTTGTTGGTGGCCCTTCTTGAGAGAATGGGGTTGGCAAAGTTGGGAATGGTGTTTGGATTTGGACATATGAGGACCAATCATTATTTTTTAATATTTTTTTTTTTCCTTAAAATGAGAATTAAGTCACATGATGTCCTCAAATTTATCTATTTTTAACATTCCAAAGTGTGCTGATATAACAGTGTGTATATGTTACATTCTTTTAACATGTGAAAGCTGTGATGAAATTACAAGATCAATAATGGACTTTTAATCCAAGGACAAGGAGGCATGGTGGGTGGGCCACATATTTAGTAGTCCCCCCATGCTCAAGGGCTGATGACCCTTGTGGGGACCAATAACAGCCAGAGAACATAAATTAGATGGGCCAGGGATAAGCCCATTCCACAAAAAGGGGGAAATGGGTTAGGCCTAAGGCTTGTCTATGGTGGGAGTAAGTTCCAAAGTCCACTATTTGCTAAAGCTTTGATGAATGAGAAAATTTTAACAAATATATGAGAGATAAATTAATTAAATGATCAAAACTTATAAAGAGTGATGATTACTAACTCTTTGTGAAGTGGCCTAACTGTTAGAAGGATCAATTGAAAAGAAAAAATAAAAAACGCATACTTGTAGCGTCAAATGTCAAACTTTTTTGTTTATATTTTTTTTAGAGCACGACGTTTTTTGTTTAAATTAATGCTGATATTAAATAATTTAATGGTTAACGACAACATATTTTATTTTATAATTAAATAAAAGAAATTATGGATTTCATAATGTTTGTATCATTTATGAGCAGAATTTGTTCTTTGATTAAGAAAATTCAACTATGTTTTGAAATTAAACTTTATTAAATGCTTAAAAACACTCAATCATATAACTTTGTTAGATGCTAAATAGCAGTACAATTCAAATGGACCACTAGTATGAAGTACTATGTATAGTATTCACTATTCATCAATTAATCAGGTAAAGTAATGATATTTGCAGCCCAATACACAAATGATTTCGTATCAAAAAATGGGTAAACAATTTAAACTATTTGGAGGGCCCTTTTAAAAATGCCAATTAATGATGAAGGGCTCTTTTAATAATTGAGCCTGAAATACTTGAGTTGGGACCACCAAATAGAACAATATTTATTTCCTAATGAATAAAATTAAAAAAAGTTGTATAATTAATTATTTCTCTGTTATTATTTAGCGTTAAAACAACATAGACCATCCATTTAGGATGTTCTATAATCTTCTATACCAAAACAAAATGGTTGCTTTACTAAAGCAATAATACATATCTCATTGTAAAAGTTTGAGCTTAATTGAAGTACATTTACCTACTCAATTTTCTATTCAAATTAATTTTGGCACAACTTAACTTCTTGTTCTTTGTCTGGGGTCTAAACGGGTGTTTTTTCGACATCCATTTCAATTGAATCGGAGTTCGTTTGTCCACTCAACTTCATTAAATTTAATGTGAACCTACCTTTGATGGACTATGGTCAAATTTTGCCCGAACTTAAAAGTTACAACAAAGTTTAATTTGGCCATATTATGTACATGACGGATTTTTGATTGATTAGAACTTATAAATTTTCTATCGTTTCGAAAAAAAAAAATAAAAATAAACTTAAAAGTTTGTAGCACTCATATCTTAGCAACCTCCAAATTAAATAAATGGATTAAAAAATTAAACAAAATATGGAAAGAAGTGAATCTGAGGTCACTAATCCATGCAAATGATTCCATTTTAATATTAACATAAATTAGATAGCTGGAGTCATTGATGACTAGCTATAATGAGATACACATCATTATTTACCAACATATATGATAGATAAGATGATGTAAAGAGACCCATAAAAGGTAAAGTGGTACTTAATATCATGTAGATTTACTTTTATTATTATTATTATTATTATTATTATTATTATTATTATTATTAATTTTTTTTTTTAATTTTTATTTATTTTATCTATTTCCCTTGGCATTATTCCAAAGAGTCCCTCAACCATCCAAAGATAGGACAGCTATTTTACTTTTTGAGATTATTCTACCTCCACAAGAATCATAGGTTATTAAGATTATGATGGAGACGAGACCGCATTGGCATTCTTAGATAAATACGACAGGCTTCGTATTTAACTGATTTATTTCCTAGTTATTATTTTTCCTTTTATTTAGTTTCTTTAGTTATTTAGTAATTTCCATAATAATTATCTATCCTAACTTGTTGGGAAAGATAAGTAGAATAGGAGTCTTATTTATATTTCTAAGTGTTCAGATGGAAGGACGATTGATTTTGAATAAGAATTATTAAGTTTCTCGTGAGTTTATCTCATCTTCTCCCTTTTGTCTACCACGCATAAAGGGGATATCTCAAATCTTAATTTCAAATAAGATATACATATGATTTTAGTATAGGCAATTATATGTAATTACAATGATAATAAATTCAAATATAAAAGATGTTTACATCGTTATAAAAATCATTGCGAAGACCATGTAAGCTCGGTTTTGACTGTAACCAACAATGTATTGACTATTGAATGAAATATCGTACAAGAAAAGACTACGAATATAAGTAATGTAACAATTTAGTCGATGAAAGTTAAAATAATTATGATAATTTCATTATTATGTAATCTTTTTTTTTTTTTGATACATAGGTTTCCGCCCCACCATTGGTATTGCAATTATTATTTATTCATTAATTTTGCACAATGTTGTCAATTCTTGATAAATTGATTTAATGGTGAAATTTGTGAAGAAGACACGAAAAAAAAATATTAAGAAAGTACAAATTAAATAAAAGCGTCATACTAATATACAATGATCTTTTTTTTTTTAATATTAAAAAAATTGTATTTATAAATGTTTTAATATTGAAAAAAATGTGTATTTTATAAACTGAGGAGTGAGGAGCCGTAAATAGCAGCAACTTAATGCATTCACAACTCAAGAAGGTCCAATAGGACCATATAAGAAAGACTTAACTGAAGAAAAATTTAATTTAAAGAAGGCCCAATGGGCTATTGTTTGTTGGGCTTAACTTAATTTACACAACGTTGTGACAATACATATAACATCGGGGATTATCTCTTTATTATTATTATTAGACGATGTACTGCATGGTGTTTGAAAGAAAATATTTGTATAAGAAAAACTGAATGTATAATAGTGTTTATTTTGTTATTGTGAAATTATATATACACTGGATAATGAATAGCTAATATTATAATAACTATTTAAAATATCGCACGTTTTTACCCTGAAATTGTGAAAAATGATAATTATTCGAGCCCTGAGAATGCAACAGTGTAAAAACTCTTGAGGGAGAGCTTTGCCGCCCTTGTGGTCCTACCCGGCTTGATTTCGAATTAGTCGGTTCCCCTGTAGATTCGGAAACCGAAAAGTTCATGTACCAAAAAAAAATATTATCTATATATATATAATTGCTAGCTAATCATTTAATAAAACCTAATAAATAAAACCTATTTAATTTTACCTAGCTGTCACTAATCTATTTTCCCTCCAATTTCAGTTACTTTTTCTATTAATTCCCCTACATAAATCATCTTAATGACATTAATCTTACTTTTAATTGCTTTCCAAAATCAAATGAGATATTTTTTTTTAAATCTGATTTCATCTTTTTTGACTGGGCCACACCATGTGATGTTCATTATAGATTTTACCGAAAAAAAAAAGAAATACATAAATGATTTACAAAAAAATTACAAATATCATTTATGATCTAAAATGCAGTAAAATAAAATCAAAAATAGAATATTCCAGCACCATAATTGTTTTTAATTCCTGCAATAAAGAAAAAGAAAAACATATTAATGAAATC